AAAAAAAAAAAAAAAAAAAAAAAAAATTCAAAAATACCATATTTGAGCCAGAAAAATATTATTCAGGGAAAAATATTTTTTTTTCAACTCTCAGTAAAATATGGGACCAAAGTAATCAAATTATATCAACTGCTCTTTGGCTTTTGTGCAAAAATTCAGAAATTTGTTCAAAAACTAAATGTGAAAGCTAGAGCTAGCATTATTATTCAGGTTGATTTCTGGTTCCCCAGAGATATTTTACAAGATAATCATGTGTGCTTTTCTGTGCATAAAAGGTCACAATTTAAAAATAGTCAACTTCAGCTTCTGGCCAACAGAGAACAGATTTATCTTCCCATTTAAAACAACTAAAACACAGAACAAAATATATAAAACGATGATTTCATATAATGTTTCATATAAAGCACTGGACATCAGGCAACAACGGACAGTGATCACTGAGACATGGGAAGCAAAGAAGATGAGCTCTATAATTGCCCCACCTTACGAACAAAATATATAAAACGATGATTTCATATAATGTTTCATATAAAGCACTGGACATCAGGCAACAAAGGACAGTGATCACTGAGACATGGGAAGCAAAGAAGATGAGCTCTATAATTGCCCCACCTTACTGCCTTGAGAGTTTCCAGGCCCCAAAGCAAAAAGAGGGAACTTAGATGGAGCCTGGCAGATCCCCTGAATTTGAAGAGATAGAAATGAGAATCTCAGGAGACCAAAGCAGCTAGAGTTCACAGGGCAGGGTACTGAAGACCTGCACAGAGGGAGAATTCCAGAGATCTACAGAAGGTATATTCAGCAGAGTACTGATCAGTGTGTGCATGTAAGGAAACTACACAAGGCTGAGGAATCACCCAAAAGGATTTGAAGGAACAGTACGTAAAGGTCACACAGGGCCTGGGATACTGCCTGTTCCTACCAGCCAGACTAGAAAACCTCATAATTCTTGGGGCACTGCCTCATTAGTGGGGCATAATTAGCTCTAAACTAAATACTGCTTTGGTCCTGCATAACAAATCTTTTGTAAAAGCAAGACCCAAAAATATCAAACTGTATTCAAATAAATTAATTATATTCCAGAACAAAGCTTAAGAATATTTATAGTAATACAAAAATAATCCAATAATACCTAATACCTAATAATAAGGTTACAGGATACAATAAAAATCTATTGTATAAGTATTTCTATATACTAGCAACAAATAATCAGAAATTAAAATGATTACAAATATCTTTTAAAATAGCATAAAGAATATGAAATACTTTGGAATAAATTTGTCAAAGATATGCATCACTGAAAACTACAAAAACTGCTGAGAGAAAAAAAAAGAAGAGATAAATGTTCAGGTGGGGGATATACTATCTACTAAGAGAATCATTGTACAATATATGCATGTATTGAAACAATACCCTGTACCCACAAATATGTACAATTAAAATATTTTATAATTAATTTAGAAAACAACAACCAAAAAAACCCAAAAAACTGCTGAGAGAAGTTAAAGAAGACTTAAATAAATGGAGAAATATACTGTGTATGTGGATTGGAAGACTCAATGTTGTCAAGGAGTCAACTCTCCCCAAATTGGTATATTTATTCAACACAATGCCAATCAAAATCTTTGCAGGCCTTTTTCAGAAATTGATAAGCTGATTCTAAAATTAATACTGGAATGCAAAAAACCTAAAATAGCCAAACAACTTTGAAAAAGAACAAAGTTGGAAAACTAACATTCCCTTTAAGACTTATTACAAAGCTATACTAATCAAGGTAGTGTGGTATTGGTGTGAAACAGACAAACAGATGAGTGGAACACAGAGTCCAGAAACAGACATACATTTAAACAACTCGTTTTCAACAAAGGTGCAGAGGTAATTTAATTAAGAAAAGATGGCCTTTCAACAAATTGTGCTGGAGCAATTAGATTAGCCACATGCCAAAAAAAAAAAAAAAAAGGAAAATCTGATCCATACCTCACTCCATCTAAAAAAAATTAACTCAAAATATATCATAGACCTAAATGTAAACCCCAAAACCATAAAACCACTATCCATACATAATACATTAACAAATTAAACCCCATCAAAATTAAAAACTTCCACTCTGTGAAAGACATTCTTAAGCAAATGAAAAGACAAGCCACACAGTGGGAGAAAATATTTGCAAATCATATATCTAATAAAGGACATGTATCTAGAACACATAAAGAACTTCCAACACTCACTAATATGGAAACAACCCAGTAAAGAAACAGGCAAAAATATGAATGAACACTTCACCAAAGAAGACATCCAGATGGTAAATTAGCATGTGAAAAGATGCTCAACATCTTCAGTAGGGAAAAACAAATTAAAACCACAATGAGATATCACTACACACTTATTAGAATGGCTAAAATTAAAAACACAAACCATAACAAGTACCGTCACAGATGTGGAACAACTGGAACTCTCATACACTTCTGGTGGGAGTATAAAATAGTATGACTGCTTTGAAAAATACTTGGCAGTTTTTAAGAGAGTTAAACATACACATACCATATGATCTATACATTTCACTAAAAAATGTTCATAAAAAGACTTGTCCGTGAATGTATATAGTAGCTTTATTTGTAACAGCCAAAACTGGAAACAACCTGATGTCCATCAACATTATGGTAAATGGATAAACAAGCTGTGGTATCCACACAATAGATACTACTCAGTAATAAAAAGGAATGAACTATTGATACATGCTACAAAACGGATAAATCTCAAGATAATTATACTGAATGAAAGAAGACAGACAAAATGAAGAGTACATACAGTTTGATTCCATTTATAAAAATTATAGAAAATCCAAATTATTTTGTAGTGACTAAAAGCAGATTAGCCATTGTCTGGGGACTAGGGGAATGGAGTGGAAGGATGCTTTTACAAATAACCTTTGGGGGTGATGGATTTATTCATTATCTTGATGGTGATGATGGTTTTTATGGGTATTTACATATGTCAAAACACATTAAACAATAATATAAATACATGTAGTTTACTGTATGTCTTTTATAAATTCTCTAAATGCTCAATTCTTATTGTAAAATAATGAGCTTGACTACCTGATCTCTAAATTTCCCTCCAGGTCCGATATTCAAGGATTTACTCCCTCTAAACAAATATAGGGAATAAAGGTAGAAATGAGGAGAAAAAAGGAAGAAAAAGCGAAGTGTTTGGTTATATACTCAAGTCAGGTACAAATCTCCTTATAGCAAAAGTAAAGTGTCAAAACTAAGTAACATCACCGCATTTTATAAACCTTAGGTATAAAAATATTTTAACCAGTAGGAGGCATGCCATAAAATTCAATGTACTGAAAATTAAGATCTCTCATACTCAACTGCAATATTTTTGTACTTTTCAAAGTTTATTCATATATACTATCCCATCTGACCTTTGCCTATCCCATGAAGGCAGTCTAAAACTTACCATTTATCAATGCACTTCTGACAAAAGCTGTGAGCACAAGGCAGGATGAGGTCAGCTCGCCCATCCATACAGATACAACACTCTTCCTCATTGGTCAGCTGCTTCACCCTGCAATGTGAAAATTAAGCTGGAACAATGATATTCTCTGTCCACAGTATAAAGCACAATATGATTCATGCAAAATCAGACTAAAATGAACTTATCTTTTAGAGATAGCAAATATTTCAGGAAGAAGTACTAAGAGGGGTAAATTTCATACAGAAAGACTGGATAAAAGATAAATTCTGTGATGGTTAAAGAAAATAAACCACAGGCCTCAGTCAAGCCCCCTTGCCCTCTGCAACCAGGCCAGCAAAGGAGCCAGCCCTGGGTCAGCACCTCCCCACCTTCTACCTTCCCCTCCCCTCTTCCCACCTCTCCCTCCCTCCACAACAGCTCTGCAACAACATCTTAGAATGTAAGAAAAGAAAAGAAAAGAAAAGAAAAGAAAAGAGAAGAGAAGAGAAGAGAAAAGAAAAGAAAAGAAAAGAAAAAAAAAGAAAGAAAGAAAGAAAAAGAAAAAATATGAAAAACACTGGAAATACAAGTGGTCTTCAAAAAGTTCAGGAGAGATTTATATTATCTTGTAATTCAATAAATATGAAAAAAACTGGAAATACAAGTGGTCTTCAAAAAGTTCAGGAGAGATTTATATTATCTTGTAATTCAATTTTTCCACGAACTTTTTGAAGTACTTCGTATTCAAGTCTTTCTAAAAAGAACTCAGCCTAATTTATATAAACAAATTCAACCAATATATAATTTATTCATAATGTAAGATAGAAATATCTCTAAAATATGAACCCTGCAATCTGGGCCTTACAATGCTGATGCTGCTAATGGACATGTATGTGAAAGAATAGCTTAGTCTTAAATATCAGGTGCTATGGGAAACACAAAGGGATAGAAAGCAATGCTTCTGTCCTCTAAGAGCTCTTTCACCTTCTTGGGAAGAAAAGAGATATTGAAACTTCTACTTCAGAGACAATTTAGAGTGCCCCGAATGAGCTATGTACCTTTGCACATGGTATTTTTCTTTCCTGGAATGCCCTTGTGAGTTTAGTAAACTCCAGCCTCGTTAACTCAGCTCAAAATGTCATCTTCTCTCTGCTCTCAAAATCAACATGTGCCTCAATTAAAGGACTTAAACACTGAATATAATTGGCTGTTGATTGGTTGGTCTCTCCATGAACTGTAAGCTCTTTGAGTACAGGGCATTTGTCTCAGATTTTCAATAAATGTTTCATGAAGTTATTTCTTTTATTCATTGTGCTTCCCACTGTGCTTCCTATAATTCTTATGATATTCTTCATCAAACATGTATTAGTTTTGTAATTATACAAAAACTGAATGCTTCAAAGTATAGCCACTAGACCATAAGCATCTTAAGGGTAGGAGCTATCTCTAAAGTTTTCATTTCCTGCTGTGCTTATAGCACTGTATATAAGACATTAAGACAGCACCTTAAAATGTATTGATTTGAACATAAAACAATATAAATAAACGTCAAGTTTGTAGTACACGCAGTAAATGCTAAGAAGGAGATGAGTATATTTCAAACTTGTTAGAAGATAAGATAGAAAAATGATGGGATTTTGATGAGGACATTCTAGCATAAACAAAGCTGTGGAGGCAGGAAAAATAAAGTGTGTGTGTGTGTATGCATGCGCATAACAAGGAACCCAAGATAACTCTCTAAGGGGAAAACTGACAGAAAAAACTGATTAAATACAGCAGAGATAATCTTATCCTTGAATGTCAAAATAGTTATGTTTGAACTTGTTCTGGTAAGCAAACTAGAATCAGTGTTTAATCAAGGGAAAGTGAACTCACTGAAATAGTAACTTAGGAAGATTAATTAGGAGTGCAATTTTAGGGATGGTCTAGAGAGAGGAAAACCAGTTAGGACCTTATTTCAGCAATTTACCTGAAAGATAATTAGGGCCGGGTTTAAAGAGCATTACAAAAGGCAAATCATTAGGATGTGGTAATAGATTAAATGTTATGCTTTAGTAATGGGAAAAAGAGGGCAGCCATTGAATTGAAATGGGGAAACCGAACGAAAACCTAGATGGATGTGGATCTGATGTATCTGATTTTATGTATATACTCAGTTCAACATTTAAGTGCCTTTTAGGTCTGTACGAGACCTGGATGAATTAGGGTCTTTGCTTTTGAGGAGCTTACAATCTTCATCTAAGGATGTAGACTTGGGTGTCAGTAGCAGAGAATATAAATGAATCCATAAAAAGTGACAATATTTTGAAGGTTAGAGTTTAAAAGTGAGAAGCAGAGGGCTACGAAGAATAGCATTGTGGATAGAGAGAAAAGAAAGAACAGGAAACACAGAAACAGCCAATGGAATCTCTACAGTGTTCACTTAATTTTGCTACCATCCTAATAGCACACAGTACCATGAGACAGAAGGAAAGTCTTGCTCTATTTGTCCCTGTTAGACCACTTATAGATAGGAGTATTCAGTTCTATGCCCCACATTCTAAAAGGCATATTGATAGGTAAAGGATCACCCAGAAAAGCCTCTGATATAGAAACCCATATAAAGAAAGGCCAGGGGAACTGGGGATGCTTATCTGGAGAACAGAAAGTTCAGTGAGAATTGAATTATTGTTTTCAAATATTTGAAGGGCTGAAAGAGAAAACAGACTTGTTTGCTGGGATTCCGGTGGGCACAGCCACCAAAAGCAATAAGTAGAATACAGTAATAATTTAATACTAATGATAGTTAACACATAGACATATTTATGTGCCAGGCACTATTCTAAGCACTTTATCATCAACACATTTAAATCTCTCAACAGTCCTATGAGGCAGATACTATTGTTATCAACCTCTTTTAAAAGATGAGGAAACTGAGGAAAGAGTTTCATAACTTGTCCAAAATCACACAGTTAGGAATAGAGGCAGGATTTGAACACAGGCAATCGGATTCTAGAGTCTGGGCTGTGCCACGCTGCCTAAAGAGAACCAGATTTTGGTTACTATGAGGAATATAAAGCAAAAGAGAAAACTTCAGAGTGATTAGACCCGCCTGAGTATGAAAAGGCTTGCTTCTCTAGGGCAGTGAGTCTCACATAACTGCGGGTGTTTGCAGTAGTCCAACTTACAAGGACAAGTTGAACTATCACTTGGCAAAATACAGTTAAGGAGAGTCTTGCTATCCAAAGTGTTATCCGAAGATCAGCAGCATTGGCACCACCTGGTAGCCTGATACAATCTCGGGCTCCTCCTCAAAACCACTAAATATTAAAATCTGAGAAGCACTGTACTACAAGATCTTTATGCTCCAGAAAGTAATAATTCAGAGATTAGAGTATGGCTGTTCTGCCAGACAGGCCTGAATGTGAGTCTCAGCTAGATCAATTTGTAATCATGGCACTTATTTGTCTAAACCTCAATATCCTCATCTAAAATGGGCCAGTAATTTTACTCTAATGGAGTTGTGAGGATTTAAGAGTTTACACATGTACAACACTCATCACAATTCTAATACCCTATAAATAATAAATGTAAACCATTAATAAAATTATGCATCAGATGTAAAGGTGAGCAATGTAAGTGCCCATTAAAATTTCCTCTGACTTGGAAAGTCTTTTTTTTATAAATTAGCGTATCAGGGTCTCACTATAAACCAAAAAAATACACAAAAGCAAGCAGCAGCCCTAACCAACCAATCAGCCATTGAGTTACCCAGTCTCAAGGTCACGTGAAAAGTGATAACGCCTTTAACTCTTTCATTAAAATGACTGCAACAAGAAAAAAAGTATTACTTTCTTTTCATTTGCTGCCTTATAGCTTAAACATACTGGTAAACATCATCCTCAGCTTTTAAAACACTTTTTAAAAATCACCATTCTGAAGAGGGAGAAGAAAAAAAGCAGAAAATCAGAC